ATGGGCGCAGCCAATTTTATCGGGCGTTGCGCAAAGCAAAGTACGAACATTTCTTTCGAACCGAGGCGTCACGATCGTGGGAGAAAGTTCTTTCGCAAATATATAACGGCTTCCTTACGTCGAGAAGCCCATCGTCGATAACGTATGCCGCGGACGGCCGAATCGTCGAGTACGTTGACAGGTGACAACACGTAATTGCGTAATTGCACATGCATACGTAAGTATTCTCGTGCTGTCATTGCCAATATTACGTTATGCTGCAGCTCGAGAGGTACTTTCAGACCTTTACTTGGTTCACTCGGATTAATTACTCTCTTACAGTGTATCAATCAAAAGCTTCTGAATGAATTAGTATACAGGAATTACATTCACCAATGATCAGTGAATGTTCACTGATTTTCAGTGAAAGCTCGAGTCGAAATTTTGGTCCTATGTTAAATCTATAATTGTACACAGTAGGAGCTAGGTTTTAGCAAAGTAGATTTAATTCTAATCAATTTACTCCAACTTTGACTCTGATAATGTCCGAAATTTCCCTTTTTACTTTCTTTAGCGTCAAAATAAGTGTCGAATGAAATAGTAAGGCTGAAAGTAAGATCAAAATTTCGACTCACACTCCCACTTTACCGCACATATTTATTTTTCTTATTTGTCACTGATTTTGACTAGTAGAAGTAAAATTTCACTGTAAAATCTGTAATACACAAGTTCTTAGTATACGCTATCCAAAAAGATATAATTTTATTCCTAACGAAAATCCTCTTATGTATGGTCTCAAGAAGATTTTTCTAGAACTAAGGAGAACATATTTTCCAACATCCAAAAGAACTGCAATTACAAGATGCTATTTGCTGTAATGCCATACTCTTTTTCTATTGAAGTAAATGCTACTTTTTTTTAACTATTGATCGAAAATTTTTTAGATTTTATTGTAACTCTTTTTCTTTTTTTGAGTCAAGAGGAATATGTTTATTTCGAGTAGGATGCTTTTAAAAAAAAAATAAAAAAAAAAATTTCTATTAAGAACAACTTGTACTGCAGATAATAAACTGAATTCCTTTAATTTCAAGAATATTGTGTTTGGAATATTTTCCTCCTGCACAAATAAAAATTTACCAATTGCAATAAAAATTTAGCAAATAAAAGAAATTTTTTTTTTCAGTTTTAGAATCCTCTTGAGGCTACATATAAAAGGATTTTTGTTAAAGATGAGATTATATTTTTTTCGATATACCAGATGAAACTTTCTGCGCATATGACAATGAAATTAATGGCTTCCATGTGCGCCAACGGCGCCTTGCGTGCAATATCTGTGTTCGCAAACTACATCGATAATGAGAATAGATTTTACTGATTGCAGTAGTTATAAACTGAATCACTACTTATAAATATAGCGTTTCAATGTAAGAATGCACTGATTATACTTTAGAGAGTAAGGTGTGTCTGGCACTTGCCAGACAGCATACTAATCGAATCATTTCGAGAATTCAAAGATGTAGTTGTTTTCCACAATCCGACAACTCATTTATATTGTAATTCCGCATATCCTTGTAGTGAATTGATCGGGATATATGAAACGAAGAGTAGCAAAATAAAAATCTTTTATCATGCATGACACACGTGATGATAATAATGCAATCATGTTATCGTCACGAGCTGCGAAAAATAGAATAACATAAAGAAGTAAGTAGTGATATGAATGACGTAAGAAATTTCAATTGCTCAAAAAAAATTACAATAAAAATGTTTCAAACGTCAGTATTCATTAAAAGATTAGCATCGTAAAAGTTAAATGATATGACAATTGCACGCGTGTGCAAACACATTGCAAACGCTCAAGATTTTAATAAAGGCGTAAAAAAGACGAAGATATATTCCGTGACGGAGAAACCGGACTATAAAAACACTTCTGCATGCATTGCGCGCATGATATAATGGTCAGATAAAGATTTCCTAATTCCTGAATTTCTCTGTTTCGAATTCCCGTCCACGTACTGGCGTACGCGACGTATATCCAATATTTATAAGGACATTTTTGCCTTGGATACGTCACTTTTATCGCGTACACACTCACATCCGTGTTATTTGCTAGAACTTCGCACAAACATCCTGGCGACACGAAACGAAAAATGCGCGAGAGAAGATGCCTCTTATTATTTCTTCATTGAAGAGTCACGCATGTTTATCAAGGGATGGCAGTGTCTCGCGCCAAACGTGATCAAACAGACTACGATTACACGGTTAGATCTCATAGAAATTTTTTCATTGATAAAATCGAGTAAATATCAACATTGGCTGATGATAATCTAAACGATACGGAGAAGCGGAGAAAACTATGCGAAATTTCAATTTAACGGTAGAATAACAAGATTTAATATTCATGCTGCGTGACTTATACAACAAATTCAAGTCGATGATGCGAGACGATTGTAAACGCATCATTGCCGCTCTTCGACACCGAGATCGAACTGCTTCTCTGTTCTCATACGCTTTTCTCCATGAAGCTCTTTCGAGCAACGTGGAGGAAGCGAATGTGCGTGTAAGAAACGTGAAGCGATTCTCACGTGTAACACGTGCCGATGTTATGAGTATGTATTCACACGCTCCTCCTCCTCCCTGCGAGACAAAGCCCACGCGCCAGTCACGGATACAGTCAATACCGTTGTTATGCTATACAGGGTGTCTGACAATTGATTACACACCCCGTTATTGCAAGTACAACTCATTAAACTGGATACAACATTCCTCTATCGTTTCGCAAACCATGTAAAATTTTGAGCTATTAATTAAAGAAGATTGACGAATGATCACAGACGGCAGATGAGTCGTGATAGCAAAGTTTGCCGTCGTGTATTTGAACATTAGATTAAACTGAACAAAAAAGTCCTCTACCATTTTGCAAATAATCATGCAGATTTTTAATTATTAATCAAAGAAGATTTGTGCGTGATATCGCGCACAATCATGCACCAACTTTCTTTAATTAATAACCAAAGATTTACGTAGTCATTTGCAAAATGGTAGATGACTTTTTTGTTCAGTCTGACATAACGTACAAGCGTACACACATACACACACACATACACACGACGGCAGCGTCGCCATCATACAGCTTCACTAATTTTCCTTTTTTAATAACTCAAAATTGTACGTGGTTGTTTGCAAAGTGATAGAAGAATTTTGTGTTCGTTTTGACGAATTCTATCTGCACACAATAGGTGTGTCATTAATAGTCAGACGCCCTGTAGATAGTGTTTTGTATGCATGAGCGCGACGCAGTTATGGCTTGTAATTACATGACGTGGGTGTGTATAGTGCAGTGTGTAGTTCTTGCGTGATCTTCATTTATCGCTGTATATTATTTTTATCGTCGTCTGCAGAACGACCTCGTCTGGAAATTCTACTCGTCAGATAAAAATGCATCTATCCCGATTTCGACATTGGTTTTTTGCCTGCCGAAATGGATTCGCGTATTTGATAGACTCTATTCGAAGTTTCTCAAGCACCGCGTGTGTAAATTTGTCGATACTGTTTCGGGATCCCGTTCGCCGGAGTGAAATCGATCTACTTCAAGCACGAGTTTCATTGAAATAAAGGGTGCCGTTCGGGAAACGCGCTATCAACGTTATTCTATCTTCATCGTTCATTAGATGTACAATAAGGATAGAATGACGTTTTAGCGCTACATAGCTTAAAATTCAACATTGCAAAACAAGTGGTGGCTAATATTACGATTCGAATAATAGTTGCTATTCATAAAAAAACTGAGCCGGGTTCATGTGGGGTTTGCAAATTACGATTTCATCATTGAATTACTGCTCAATTTTACAAACTATATTGTGATAATATTGTGCGCATGACCGATAACGAGCATGCTGTTTACTTGGCACGATGCTATCGTCGCCATAACTATCGCGCTTGTTTATAAAGGACATAAGATTTATTACGCAGATTTTACGTAAGTTCTAAAGACAAAACATTGACGTTATCGTGTGTCATTTGTGACGATCACTTAGCTCTAAAAAACTCGCTTTACCTATATACCGCGGGACGAGCAGCCGAGTGTGAGAGGGAGGGTATCCTCATTGAAAAAATTTAATTGACATCCGTGGAGAATATCGTGTAGACGCGCTGGCTAGTAAAGAGCACCTGTACCGAAGTCACGGTTCCGATACGCGGAATGCAATTGGATACAGCGCGTGCACATCCGGCGTCCGCTATCCTCTCCTCGATTAAAAGTCGCGCCACCCGCGCGATAGATAAATCGGTATTTACCGATTAAACAGATGTATACAGAGATTAGACAAAATCATGTGAACACCAATATTACATAAATATTTCTTTGTGTGTTGGCTGCACTGACCAAACAAAAGTTAAGGTTATCTTTTGCTTCTCTTTCTATCGTCTGTTCTCTATTTTATACGCCAGTGTATTAGGCTAGTGGCACATAGAAAAACTTAAGCAGTAAACCGTAAACATTAAGCAAATTGACCAATCACAGTCGCTAATTTTTCTTACGGTTTAAGAATCAACGATTGTGATTGGTCAATTTGCTTACTGCTTACGTCTTATTGCTTTTTCTGTGTGCCACGGCCCTTATATTTATTCCAACGGCGGTTAGTACGAGCAGTCGATGAAATGAGCGACATGTCAGACTTCCAAAGGGAACAATTCGTCGGAAGACTTTATCGGCGAAGAATAATGGCCGAAAAACATAATTGACTGACAAAGATAAGGTCGAGCACTAATAAGAATTGTGTCCAAACAACACAGAATTGCTGCAGCAAAGTGACAGCAGAGAAAGCATTTGATATCCATCCCGAATATTCCGTTTTTACAGAAACATTCCCCCAAGAACTTCACCAAGCCAAGTTAATGTGAAACAATATATTGTACTTTTTAGATGTTCACATTATTTGGTCTATCTCTTGTAGATCAATTATCGCGATACGTTCGCGCTCGCATGAGAGAGATCTCACATAAGAAGATAAGATACTTACGAATCTCGAAGTGTAGTGTAACGAGTGCGCTGGTGTGATAAAAGTGCACGCCGTGCTTGGCTGACGTTCAAACGGCCGACGCGAAAACGGGACGTATCCTCCGACTGAGAGATGCAAAGGAAGAAGGAGAGGGCGAGAAGAGACTTGCGCGCTGACTTGTGTCCGTGAAGGATTGTTAATCCCGCGACATCGCGCTGGATCCCGGAGCCTCTTCGTCGTTGCTCACGTCCGCTTCACGGAGATCATACGAGACCGAAAGTCGCCCGGCGCGAACGCGATACATGCGATCACAAAACGTTTCTTCCCGTTGGCACGTCCGCCGCGTACGAACCGTACCTTTCACGCCGACCGCACGGCGTAAACTGAACGCAGCCGCAAGCATGCGCCCGCTCGCGTGCGCGCTCCCGTCCGCCACCCACGCGACCAATCGGCGAGTTGCGCGGTAGAAGTTTGAGTTTGAAGAGAAACCTTGCGCTTGCCTCGGAAGATAAATGCATGGTCGTGAATAATTCTCGTAGAGGAAGCGAGCGTGACTTAATATGGATTTGTCGGGCAATGTCGCGGATGAGCGATTGTTTATTATCGTGGCTAATCTTTGGATATGACTTGTCTTGACCGAAATGAGGATGTTCAAACATTTTTAATAGAAATTTGGCATAATGCTTATACTGTATTCTACAGCTCTTATTTTGAAATTTCTTTTTTTGTCAGTGTGTATAATAGGTGTAAGTTTTTAGATTTGTAGTCTGAGGCTTAATTTCTAACAAAAAGCCTCTTTAGCTGCTTTAACAGTTACAATTTGGTTGCTTAAAACTTAGGGATTATGACTTCAAGTGACAATGAAAAACATTTTTAGCAAAAAACGTTTTTATAGAAAATTACGCCACAGTCTTAGAGCACAAAATTAACAGCTTACTATATCTATTGTAGAGCCGAATTTATCAATAAAAGTGCTTCTAAAAGTATTTATAAACTAATAAGAAAATTTATAAGTTACATTAACGGTTAATTTTTCAATACTTTAAATTTAGATTTACGTTTGAGTTCCGTTCTAATAATGTGCGTTTGAATTTAAATCTAAGTTTAAACTACTATTGAAAAATCGACACTTATAAATCGGCATTATAAAGGTACTTGTATCGATAAAACAGAATATTCGAATAAATGTTGATTGTATTGTCTTAGTCGAAGACACGAATAAACATTTTGATGCCAATGCGATTAGATGTTAAATTTGTTTCTCAATATTCTATATTGAATTTGTAATTGTTTCTTGAAAGGAATATTTCGATTATGGAATATTTAGTTATTTTTAACTGAGTAATTAATTTTTAAACAAAGTTATTTTTAACAGAGATAAATTTTCTCGACAATATTCACACAAAAGAGACAAGGTAACTTAAGATAAAAGAACTTCGTGACAATCGGCATGAATCATTCTCTATATATTGCATCTACGCAAAAGACAGCGCCTTCAAATTAGCGTATTAGTCGCGCTACAATAATCGATCAAATGTGTACGCGTAATTGCACTTAATACGTATTACGTCGTATCGACATTGATACGGAATTCGATGATTAATACGATCCTGGTTTCACAAGGTTAAACTGGTTAAACTGACATAGAACTGTGCTAATTCTAAGGTTTGATGTATCGTGAACATCTTCTCTAATATCCTTCAGTAATAATAATGTTCCGGAAGGATCTAAAGTCCCTATTTAAATTTTCCGCCGTCGTTATTTGCTTCCGAATATACAATTTCATTAATTCGTGACATGTGGATTGTGTCTCTCAACGTAACCAAGTCGAATCGCGCTCGTACTTTCTCGTTATTGCCCAAAGATGACAATACAATGAGCATTGTGCACATTTCTACAAATTTTATATAATCTATAAACGTCTAGGTATAGTATCCGATATAGTATCCGATATTTCCGGAATGGAGCCGTGTCTTGAATCAGCGATGTGCCGACGTTTCGCAAACGTTGCAGTTTGCATCATTAGGGCTGAGAACTTTGATACTTTCAGTAATTGCAGTTAATTGTAAACGTTGCAATTAACTGCAACGTTTGCGAAACGTCGGCACATCGCTGATTCAAGAAACAGTTCCATTCCGAAAGCTATACCTAGACATTGTATCAATGGCCGTGAAAGCCTCAAATCTAATCTATAAACATATTTAAATAAAAAATAATATCTCCAATTCGTAAAACGAAGGGTGGTTTTTGACCCAACTCATCAATTTATCAACAGAGGTGGTTTGATATATGTGTAATATATTTTGTTAACTTGAAGATGCCAAGTACCGTTCACGATCATGATATAAATGTCGAAAGACGAGTTCTCACATTCTACGTCCGGTTTAACGTTGAACCAAGCAAACTTAGATTCACCGTTATAACTTGCTACGGCTCAACCGTCTCGCGAATGCTTCCTAGAATTGGTCAGCCGGATATTCCCAGCTTTAGACGTTCCATAATCTGTGTGAAGATCTATTAACGACGAAAGGGGTGTGTAATTTGCAATAATGTTATGGCTATAATTCCGTTTTATTCTATTATCGATCCGAAGTTACTTTGACTATAAACCAAAGCGACTTGAATGTATAATTAATCGTATAGAACGGTTCTTTCGACAGTCTATTATTTGTAACTATATAATAATTATGTAGTCAGTAACAGAATTCATACAACATGACGCTCTATTTAGAAGTATTCTCTGAAATAAATCGTAAATTCTCGTTTCATCTCAAAACTTCTGTTTTTAACACTTGGATCTGCAGTTAATTACGATTTCGTGGTAATGGAAGACAACATTGTCAATGCTGTTTTTATTTTGATTAATAGGTGTGTAAAATATGTAGCAACTCTCGCGCCTGTTTCTATGCAACCCGAACGCCACTTCGCATCAAAGAATCATTTCATGTGTGCTCAGATGCAAAGAAGATTTATCGTAGAATAATTACAATAAGCGATTATGAATGCAAAAATCGTCTTTAAATCTTTTTTCAAGTTTCCTAACAAATCTGGAAATACGTGAAACAAAAATTTTTTTTTCGTTTAATACTAGTGGCGCTAGCGTACTCTCTGCGGATAGTTCAGATATCTATTTTCGCATTGAGTCGACATCTTTCTGTCGGTATCTTTCGTGGATAGTTTTGGTATCTATTTTATCGTTAGCTCAAATGAAAATTTAGTTAGATATTTCGGTCTATCGCCATGAAGAGGCGCTGCAAAATTATCTACAATCACTCTACTCAGAGTTTGGCCACAACGCGCGGTTGTTTCGTCAAGATCCTGCAAGAGAGATATATTTTCAATCTCTCTCTTTGTCTATTTTTTTTTTAACTTAACCTAACTTACTGTCATAGGTGTACTGTGATTGGATATTACGTGGGATTTGACGAAACATAGCGGACCAATCAAAAGTTATTCCTTTATGGCCAAACTCTGATTAGAGTGACTCTAATGTACAAGTATGATCTATTAGATTGTATACGGAAAAGAAATTTGGCTGGATCAACCAAATTAATAAAAAAAGTCAATTTTTGCATTTTTGCAAAAACACGAACTATCCAGAAGTTCCGGTTGAAGTCACCAGTATGTATCTAAATTACACTAAAAAAAATAATCAAAGATTTATCTGCGAGATATAAAGTTTATTTCTGTCATATAAGATTCAGTTTTGTGAAATAAAGTTTACTACAATAAATAAATTTGATATTCCACAAATAAATATTCAAATACTTTTTTCTCAGAGTATATCAAGATTTCTGTCTAACTTGAATAGAATTCTGATAACTTTGACCTGAAATTTTGAATCATTCATACTTCACTAGAATTTGATTAATTCGACTAAATCTTTTTCTCCGTGTAGACCTTAAAGCGACGCGTAATATATCTTTTTTACTCAAAATTGCAACATTATAGTGAAGAATTTTGACTATCATTCTCATACGCGAAAGTATATACCGTAAATTTATGAATTTTGGAAAAATATAATATTCTTTACTTTCTACGCGTATTTTCATTGCATAAAAATTACGTTATTAATATTAATGTTAAATTATAATGTGTGGACGAAATGAAATTCTTTAAAACAAATTATCCGACACGAATATTGCATATAATTATATCATCAATGTGAAAAATCAATGTAATCCTTCGATCTTTAGTTTCGTCATTAAAATGACTTTCAATATTCGCGATGGAATTCTATTCGTGATCTTACACGTCGTGTAATATACAGAAGAGCGTTCGAAGATTTCTAGTCGCTGTCTCTCGGTAGAGAAGATTTTTCGAAACAATCGAGAACACAATTGAAGTTGCACACTGACATTTTGAGATACGTGATTAGTCACGTATACATGACTAAAATCATATCGAGATACTAATATCAATGCTGACTAGGAAGCAAGCAAGCTCAACCATTTTAACCGATGACATAGAACCGATATATAGAACGTATATATTGCCGTATTTTTTTCGAGAGTCAAAGACGATAGACTCGCTGCTGATACAACACGAGCGATTACTGTTAATCATTTCTGCTGTCGTTATATCGCGGATGAAATTTTTCCATTTCCATTTTTCCGAGGACTCGTCTGAGAACGAAATGCTAAACGACTTAAACAGAAGAGCATTCAACAACAAGAACACGTATCTCGCGTGTGCCGCGTATACTCATTATACGATAAAATATGTCATTTATGGTCATCATAACGGCAGAAATTACCGTGGCACCTCGTAAAGCAGTCGTATTATGGCTAGATACGTTCGATGTGGCACGTGGTAATTTATACGTCGCGTGTTAGATGTGACTGCATTACTCGATAATGTTATTCTAGCGCGAAAAATGCAAGTTATATAGCTGTATCGACATTATGTTGCATGTAATCGAAGGTGTGTTGATCGAAGGTTGAGCATGCGAGCCCGGGAAATACGCATTGAGGGAATTAGCGCGATCCAACTCGAGTATTTATCAAGAATAATGTCTTGAATCAACAAATGAAGCATTTGAAGCAGTACTCACCGGTGGAATCAGCTTCAGGCGATCCGCGATCCACGATCCGCGATGAAATGCGCGAACAAGACTCCATTTGCGAACAAACACTCGATGAATCAGAATTACGTGCGCGAAATGTTTAATTTTTTCCGCGATACGTAAGCTAAATTACAAATCAAATTTGATTCGGAATTTTGCGTAACTTGCAGATATAACCGCACAGAGAAAAAAACTGTTTTTTAATAACCCTCAGTTATCAGAACTGAAATACAGAATAATTTAATGATCGTCAAGAAAATAAATCAAATAGTTATCGTTGTAAATTACACTTCTTATCATTTATCATTTTAACAAACATATATTTCTT